CTTAAATCAGTTCTAATGAAGTTTTACAGTTGTGATTGATTAAGACAGTCTATCATTTATAAGTAAAGAATAATATGGGGAAGGGGAGGGGGCTTATTAACTTTCTTCCCCTGAAGAGGTTGGGTGGGGGGGGCTTTTTTGAGACAGAGGTCTTAATAGAGGATTTACGGTATGAAAGATTAAAAAACCTTTACAAGCAAAACAGGGCACGCGGTCTGATGAAGTGTTAAAAAGTCTCGACTGAAGTTGCTACGTTTTCGCTTTATAATGAACAGAGCAGAGAGGGGGCCGAATGCTCCAGCTGCTAGACAACAGAATTGTGTCTCTAGATCTCTTTAATGCTCCGTTTGTTCCAAAAACCGACAAAAGCCACGCCACATTACAGAAATATAGATGATTCCGAAGCCATATTCGTCTGTGTAGGAACACATTCCGTTTGTCAGTCAGGGGTAATTGCAAGATTTAGAACTGGAGCAATTTTCTCCCCCTAATAATTAAGTGCTGCAATTGTCTAAAGTAGCGTGACTGATCAATTTACGAAAGAAAAGTAAATTGAACTCTTTTAGGGCTCAGGGGTATAAATTAAACCACGCAATTTGTCGATCATAGGATTGATCGAAAATAGCTAGACAACCGCTTCAATTGTCCGTGTGAGGAAAAAAAAATTTTAAAGGAAATCAGTTTGTGATGGGGGAGGGGTGGCTTGGTGAATTTGAGTTCGTCCGTTAGATTGTTGGTTTTAAAGTTTTTCTCGGTTCATTTGAAAGTGTGATTATATCATTTTTAATACTCGAGAATTTCCCTTGAAGCTTTTCGTAAACGGAATCATTTACAATCAACATGACATTCTCAAAGCACAGTGTGGTCAGAGATTACTTCGAGTCGCTTTTACTCGCTCAGCAACCGAGGGAGTAAAAACAACTCGAGGTCTGAAATTTAAATTTAGGCTAATAGCATTGTAGTCGTGGATCGTGATGATAATAAAACATATGATCAATCAAGATAAGAACCCTTTCACTGCTCTTTCAGCTCGCTTTTACTCGATGATGGTCTGGTTACTAAAATGAAAGGGAAATTAAAAGTTTGATATCGGAGGTGAATTCATGCATCATTGCAGCAAACACGACGTAAAACTAACAGGCGCATTTGCCCGCCTTAAATTTATTCACCTAAAATATTAGGAAGGCCAAATGCGATTTGTTATCTAAAAAGTTCTGGAAAAGGGCGAAATCTATGAGACCCAACGGAAGGCTTAGCTTTGCAGCGGAGACTAAGCTAAGAGGTGAGCTGTTAACTGGGTTGTGAAAAATTGCAAAAAAAGATCGGAAGGAAATCTGCCGAAAAAATGTCGCCGTATGGGAAATGCAAATTTTGTTACGCCTGAACAGAAAACAGGCCCCAAGAGCGCAACCGTCGTGAGGAATACATGAGCCTGGCCTACGTAGCTGGCGCCTGCTATTTGCTTTTTTTTACAGGCCGCGCCAGGGGAACAGTAGAGATTTCCCCCCTGTTTTGTGTACTGTACAGGGTGCCGTACAAAACGAGGTTTTTAAAACTTTTTGAAATTTGACCTTGTATTCGAGTCTGTGGATTGACAAAATCATGTAGCCAATCATTACTCCCCTGACTAAGGGTTGGAGGAAGCGAGATCGAGTACCGACCCCAAGGATCTATTTAATCTATTTTCACCGTACGCCAAAAATAGGGTAACAACAATGTAAAGATAATATTGGATCTTGTCAATTTCCGGAGGGGAAGTCGACCGCGACTTTTGGCTAGTCGATTTTGAGAGACGGAGGGTTTGGAACAGAGCCTAGACTCGCATTTATGCTTTATGCTAGCCTGTGCCAGGCTCTCAGGTAGTTGCCTCGTCGCGAAAATAAAGCAAGCCAAGCGAAAATAAGACGCGCCCGCCCTCTATCTCCCCAGATCCTGCGCGTTTTTTCGCATCACATTTTACTGCACGACTGCACTACTATCTAAGAGACTGGAACAAGCTACATCTATTATGCCAGAAAGCCCTTGTCGATCGTCTGAAGTGGGAGGCTCGATCACCCTGCGTTTAGTGCTTTGGACATCGCATCTAAAGATCCGGATCCAGGCCCTGCAAGGCTCAATAATATTGAAATAGAGCATGTTTTAATTCTCACCAGATATATATATATATAGTTAAAACTACCTAAAATTATATTGCAATTATCCTAAAAGACCCAGCAGACCCAGGGGCAGGCGGTCGGGACGACGGTGCTTGCACGGCAAAAAGTTCTTAACAACACGATTAAAAGACTACGAAAATACCGTCGACCCGACCAACTCCTCCTGAGTCTCCAAGAATGTACCTCAATAACATAAATATTTCCAAGTTCATGTGCCTTTTAAGACTCTCATAAATAACGTAAACCACAGTTGAGTGATCAAAACCAAATAAACAAGCTTTTGGCGAGTTGCACCAGTCTGTTTTTGAAAACGAGGGTATATAAGTGTTATGTCTTTAATGGAGTGGGTCGAGTTAACTTTCGCAAATACTTCAGGGATCTTTACTGGGGATTCGCCGGTCAGCTATCGGCCAATTTTTTCCCCTATCCCTAGTAATATTCCCAGAAGTCTTTGCGAAAGTCAACTCGGCCCAGTTCCCTTCTCGCTTCTTAAGAGGCGATTTGAGCGTTTGCCTAATACAGGGAATTGGGGGTACCACACGAGGTAGATAAATTAGAATTTGAATCCACGACAGGTTCAGAGGTTATTCTTTGTTTCATCACTAGTTTCAAAGGTCTACACGGCGTAACATTACATAGGTACTGAAGTCATTTTGATATGAAAATAGTTTTAAGCTTTCATGCAAATTAAACTCATTTTCATGACTATGACAGAATTCGCAGTTAGCCTCATTTTGGAAGTGACGGTTTTGGGGATGCCGAAATAGACTACAGAGGAAGCTCTCGTGTGCGGACACCCTAGGGACGCGTAACTGGAGCCGGCCGCTTAAGGGAATGTAAAAATACAGAGGTTGTATGGGCGTCGAGAAAAACGGGGTTTTGTGCCGGTGGCCGTATGTAGAACTGTCCACTTACGAGAGTGTCCGTTAGGAGAGCTTCTACTGTATTGCTTTCTCCAATCACAATACAGGCAGGAAATTAAACAAGCAAATCAAAACCCGAAGCCAATGGGTACAGTAGCACCAAGGGCGGGAAACACGCCCAGAAGAGCAAAGAAAGTCTTGTTTTAGGCCTGGTTTTCCCAATAAAGTGCCGGAAAAATCCCAGACGACCGAGGATTTTACTGTTTTCCGACCATCCCAAATATAGTAGACAAGACAACCGGGGACAGACTTAAAGAATCGGAAGCGTTTCTATTTTTCCCACGCGTCCCAGATTTTAGCTATANACAGGCAGGAAATTAAACAAGCAAATCAAAACCCGAAGCCAATGGGTACAGTAGCACCAAGGGCGGGAAACACGCCCAGAAGAGCAAAGAAAGTCTTGTTTTAGGCCTGGTTTTCCCAATAAAGTGCCGGAAAAATCCCAGACGACCGAGGATTTTACTGTTTTCCGACCATCCCAAATATAGTAGACAAGACAACCGGGGACAGACTTAAAGAATCGGAAGCGTTTCTATTTTTCCCACGCGTCCCAGATTTTAGCTATAGTCGGCGATCATTCTCGACATATCATTAAGGAAACTCAATGTTTTTTTGTCCGGGATGTGGGAGATGGATGGTTTATCGTTTTTGCTCGGTTCCAATCCTCCACCCTTCCCCACACAAATCAAAATGGCGTCATGGACGGACTGTTTGATCTTCCTGAGATATCAGCAAAATCTGGCACGATCGGGAAACAAGTAAATCTTCGATCGCCTGGGATTTTTGCAACATATAAAGGTTTTTTTACCTAAAGGCAGATAAATTGAAGTAGGCTGTTATTAATCAATCACAAGCGCACAAGCGCCATGACGCCAAAGTAAAGCAAAATCGAACCACTTTGGACATACAATAGATCTTTCCACGGTTTTTTTCAACTTTTGACAGGGACAAGTTAGGGAAAATCCGTCGTGTCCACTGAAGAGAATACCTTTAACGCTCGCTTAAGACGTATCACCTTCAAGCGAGGCAATTTTAATTTTCCCTAACAGGTCATACATGTCAAAAGTTGTAAAAATTCCGTGGAAGGGTCTCTACTGACTATCTACATCAACAATTAAAATGCTTATTTTATTGTACAGATAAAACTGACTCACATTTGCAATGTATAATTATAAATATAGAGTTTTCATCAACTAATTTTTGGCTAAAAATATCTTTACACAGCTTAGCATTTTGCGATTATCGATCATTGATTACGGTTTGTAAATAATGAGTATTTCTTAGCAAAAACCAAGTATATTCGTTTGTGGATAACAATCACATTTGTTATATACCTGGAAATTTTTCCCAACAGCGCGCGCTCTCATCATGATTGGTTACTTCGAGGTCACATGACATCTAACATTGAAATTGTTCCCCGCCAAAACCTCTGAGCTGGTAACAGTGCAAAATCTATGACGTCAGGAGTATAACTGTGCACTTTTACCCGCGAATGCTGACCGACGACCGCCGTTACAGCAAGGTTTAATGAATTTCCAGCTATATGAAAAATCACTTAAAGACTGGCTCCTCGGGAAACAGTTAATTTTTTTTTCCCTCGAATCTCAATATTTCCTTAGGCACATTGAGAATTTAATGTTAGCGGATAATACCCGCGATTTACTGTTTAAGGATTTTGATCGCTTTTGTGTTCTCGTTTGCGGATAATAAACATAAATGTATATATGTTTGCCGATAATACTGAAGTAATGTTTTAAGAATATTGGGGAATTTTGTGTTCTCATACAAACAGTCTAAAAATCAACATTCGAAAAGTTACTGCTCTATGGTGCAAACATGTCCTGACTTAAAAATATATAAAGATATTAAAGATATATTATACACAATGTGATATTAATTAAAGAGACCTTACAGACTCTGACTACTCCCACTTGTACCAATTTTTACTTCTGTGTAAGGCTTCCTTCCATTCGTCGAATGTCTTCAAGAATCGCTCCCTTATGGATGTTTTGGGTTGGAACAGGGCCTGAGAACAACGGATCGCTTTCAATTCATCGCGTGATTTCCATACGCCTGAATAAAAAAACAATAAATTAATGTAAGGACACGATAACGTTAACTAAGACAACAGTAACAGGGCTGGTAAAAAACTTGAATTCCAGCTCTCACATTCTGCTTGCCCGAGGCCACTTCTTGCTCGACTTTATCCATGATTGTGAGCTATAGAGGAGGTGGTTGCCTAGCAAGCAAATCTACTAGTCCCGCACAACGGGAAGGAAATCTACTAGTCCCACACCACCGGAAAGGACTTTTTTGAGCTCTAAGTAAGGTAAGTATCTGGCCAATCAAAGGAAATATGCAAAATACAGCACTGAGCCAATCAGAAGTAAGTACACGCCCCTGAAGTTACGGGCGCGGAAATGTATGCGGCTAGTTCAAAGAGCGGGAGATAAAAACTGGGAATGGGCTGCCTGCGCGGTTTGAATAGTTTCGCATCGAACAGCTGAAGTGGGCGGGAAAGCATTAAACTACCACCAAGGTCAGAAAAGCGTGCAACGGGTGCCAACAGTACAAAGCTTGTGAGGTATGTCTTTATTTAGTTTGGCTTCTTCTAGCTGGTTCCCCAAAAGAGCAACTTTTTCTTTTTTTGCAGTATGGCTCATTAAATAAATGAACAAGTAAAATTTGAGATAACTCTCGCACATGTTCCCAGCCGGCAGACAAGCTCTCCTGATTTGAAAAACTCGCAAGAAGTCACGCTTGAGCGGAACGGGAAAGAAGCGAGAGCCTTCGCCTCTCGCTCGCGCGTTCTCTCGAGGCTTGAAATGGAGAGCTTGCTCGCCAGCTAACATATCCCACAATCAGTGTTCTACTGGATAGCTTTTGCACCAGCACAAAAACCATACCGGGTAGGGCTTCTGTTCGCACATAAGAACGGTGATTTCAGTGCAATATATTCAGTTAAGGGAGCGAAGCTGTGCCGCGCCGATCTCTAACCTGGAGAGTCACATATCGGATAGGTGTACATACTATACTACCGAATAGCTTTTGCGACGGCACCAAACCATACCGGGTAGGGCTTCTGTTCACACATATAAAGAACGGTGATTTCAGCGAGGAGCGAAGCTACGCCGCGCCGATCTCTAAAGTGAAGAGTCATGCACATATCGGATATACAGGCGTTCATACTATAGTTTTTGCGCCGGCACCAAACCATACCGGGTTGGGCTACTGTTCACACATAAGAACTGTGATTTCGGCGCAATATATTTAACGGAGCGAAGCTGTTCCGCACCGATCTCCAAAGTGAAGAGTCACATATCGGATAGGTGTTCATACTATACTACCGGATAACGTTTTGTGTTAGCACGTAAATCTTTCCAGTATAGTGTGAAGAGAGCATTAGATCATACCTGCGGCTAGTCCTGCAAGGAATGCAGCTCCAAGCGTTGACATGTCAGTCTGTGAGGGGCGGTCAATGGTTTGACATGTTAAACTGCTCATTATCTCCAAGACAAAGTCATTGTTGGAAATCCCACCGCCGACTCTGAAAAAAAGATCGTTACACATGTTGAGCCTGTTTGAATTTTTGAAGTGCGCATGTATGAACGTACAAAAATAAAGCTTTTCGGATTTAATCTACTGTCCTTTGGTGTAAAAAAAGGAAATTTAATTTTTGAGACTACTGATGAAACTAAAAGCATCCGTCACCATTCTGTGTGAAAACTATTGAATAGCGAATAAGTGAGGTGCTACCTGAAGTGCACGTGATCGTTCAAATAAGGGTCGCAGAGCAGCACTTTTCTGTGGTACTGTTTATCATAGTGTACAAGATGGTTCTAACTTTTGAATCAGTGGACGAAATCTTTGAGTGCAAGTCAACCATTCAAATGAAAGTTACTGAGTGGCAGTTTCCTGTGGTACTATTTACTATGCTGCACAAGGTGGATTCATCTGTTGAGTCTGAAGATGACCATTTAACCGCCGCCTGGTTAGCTCAGTTGGAAGAGCGCCGGCCTGCTGAGCGGGAAATCGTGGGTTCAAACCCCGGAAGGACTAACACTCAGGATCTTTAAATAACTGAGTAGAAAGTGCTGTCTTTGTAATGACATCTGCAAACGGTTAGACTTTCTAGTCTTCTCTGATAAGGACGAAAAGCCGTAGGTCCCGTCTCAAAGCACTTTCACTCATCTGGTTCTTGTGGGATGTAAAAGAACCCACACGACTGTTCGAAAAGAGTAGGGGACGTAGACTCCGGTGATGTTACCGACCTTTCCTGGGCTGGGTGGTTTCTCTGTTAGGAGAGGTCTTAATATAGGGATTACCTCGTGATCTTCCTTCAGGTGTCGTAATGGCTACCTGTAATCAGTACACGTATATCATCTGAAAGATGCTGTGGGGTACTTTCCTGTGGTACTGTGTTTTATGCTGTTATGTAGTCCTAACGTTTCAGTCCGGATGGAACAAAACGTTTGGCCATTAAAAGAAAGTTCCCTAACAGTCCTTTTTTCAGCACAACCTTCTTTAATAAATGTTCCTTTTTTTTCGAATAATTTTTTTTTTTTCTTTCTTGTGTTCAGAGATACTCACTTGATTGACGACATGAGGGGAATATGTGTCTCGTCTACCACAGTTTCATATAATTGCGTAAACCTGTGGACGTAAACCAAGAAGTAATGCTAAATTAATCAGATTGTTACTTACATTGCGGACTTATTGCGGACCTACCTAGATTTCTGTGATTTTTTTTTCCTGTTACCTTGGGCGGCGTCTATAGACTTTGTTTCAATAAATCAGCAAAGTTTTACAAACCCAAAATCAAATAAGCAAAGCGACCCATGGGCTTTTGAGGTGTATACACTTCAAGGTATCTAAAATAAGTAACTCACCATCAAGTCAAGTAGAAGTGATTGTGTGGTTCAGAAAGAGTGACGCTCACCTATAAGCTATTGATTCCAGAATTGCTCTTACGATATGCGCCTTTTTTGTGGTCGATTTGATGCCCATCAGCGATACGCAAGCCTTGTTATCGTTTATGGGGGCCTGCAATGAAAAAACAAACAAACAAACAAACATTTTCAGCACAAAGCCCACAGCTTCTTACATAACCTGTATACAGGCTTTCTTTTGGAGTATATAAGACGAAGCAAGAGCTAGAAAGCCGAAGGAGACGGAAGGAGCATGCTCACAGGTTGCGCCTTAAAGGCTAGGTAAACAAAGAGGAGATTTCGGCACGAATCCGAAACATTTTTGTACCAGATTCGTTTTGGAGAGTTTGAATCCGGAATCTGAAGTGGATACTTTTCATCCAAATAAATGTTCGTGGACTTTCCGATGTGTACAAACGTCCGCGAACCTGAATACTTTAAATGTACAAAACCCGAAACATTTATGAATACGGAAAAACCTCCTTTAGAGTGGACCAGCCATAGAAATCTTGCCTTTAAGGTCAACATATGCAGCTAAACGCCGGCCTAGCCAGCCAACGATGCTCGAAAATAACCAGCTTGCAAAATTTAATACTCAATATGAGCATACCTTGCAAAATAAACCGATAAGAATATTTGCATCTAGGAAACTGTAAATTCTTAACATTGAACAATCTGAACGTGTTTCCAGATTGACAGGATACACCCTTATTGTACTGACTAAAGATAAAATCAGAAGCATATAACACCAAGCTTCTGATAAAATACATGAGATATTTCAGTGACGTTACATTACAGTAAAGCTTCACCTGCAATCCATTAAACGCTGGAACGAAGTAAACACCCTCTGAGCCTAAAGATATGAAAGAAAACAAACTTTGAAAATTGTCTAAAAGTAGCCTTTACTTTTTGTAAAAAATGTGACTTACTGTCGACGGAGAATGCCGTATCACTTGTCAGCGACACATCATCGTAAAAACCTTAAAGAAAAGAGGAGTCTTAATTTTAATAGGAGGATAAGTAAATCGTAAACAAGAAAAACGTAAATACTTTATGTACATCTCACACTTTTGGTACATCTCGGACAACTCAACTCTAAAATAATTCGCCGAGATTTAACAAATCATGCGAACTGGAGTCCTGAAAATCAAGTTTGAAATATCGCGAACGTACTTGTTTTGCGACATTTTTAACAGCCGTACAAAAATTCAGACGCCCAGCCATTCACAATTCCGTGTGAACAGTGCGAAAATATTAAGCGGTCCCGTTGAGAACGAAGTGTCCCATCAAATTTTTTAGCCGGTCAAAAATTCGTCTGATGCAGTAGCCTTAAATTAGGCGCCATTTCACAAGCTCGTATACAGTTCCTGTCTTATTTTAAGCTCGACTTATGTAAGACGCGTCTTATTTTTCTCCCCTATAAATGGCTCTAGTGTGAATGTAGATATTCGTAGAGAGCACTAATAAAAACGAAAGCGCACGAAACATTCGATGTGTTTTTGGTGAGAAGAAACTGAGTACAGCGCTTCGAAAACGCATCGGCATGGACCATCGATGACAGAAAGGCTATTATCCATGGTATGGACAAAGCCAAAGTCACAGAAATTTCTGGGAAAGGAAGCATCTGTATTAGCCTGCGAGCTGGCTCACCGGGGCGCTCTGGGGGCGTGGCGGGAAAAGGAAGGACAGCTTGCAACTATGAGCCCTTACCATTAGTAAGAAAATTTGGTTAAAAATTTCTGACAAATGGTACTGGACTTGAAAAAGTTTCCGAAACGAGGAATGGGTTAAAGTTGTACCATTTGCAAAACGCCTGATAACGAGTGGGCGTGGGTCAAATCACCTTTTGCCTCAAGAGGAAGCCTGGCACTGGTTTACCAGACAATGGTACAAGAAATTTCGGCTGTTTCGATAAAAACGGGAAAAATGTAATACCTCGAAAGGTGTAACTGTTTTTCCGGAAAATTTCCACCGGAATGAGCCGTTCCATTTGAATTCTCCCCGGAATTACCGGATTTTCATAGAAATGGTAAGCGCTCTATGTCTCTAACCTGAATTTCATCCGATTACTTCGAGTCGTTATCACTCTCTAACTTGCTGAGAGGAGAAAACGACTCGAAGCAATCGGACGAAATTCAGGCTATCTTTGTCTCTGGAATTTGAATATCTGCATCGAAAAAGTTGATGCGAAATGCTGATTGGCGGAGATGACATTAGTAATGACGTCATTACCCTTGACGCGTGCTTTCACGTGTTTCTTATTAGGGCCATTTATACGAGGAAAAATAAGACGCGTCTTACATAAGACGTGTCTTAAATAAGACGCGAACTGTACCATTTATACGAGCATGTCTTATCTAATAAGACGCGTCTTAGCTAATCCGCGTCTTATTTTAGACGAAATGTGCCTTTTATACGGAAAGTTCGCGTCTTATTTAAGACGCGTCTTATGTAAGAGGCGTCTTATTTTTCCTCGTATAAATGGCCTTAATGTTAGTTTACATTCGCGCTCGTTTCCGCTTCGCACTGATTGGCGAAAATCTGACATCTCAGTTGACGGGGAGCCACAGGGGAATTGGAGGAGGAATTCAAATTCCGGGGACTAAGTTGCAAGCTCTTCTTCCTTTTCCCGCCTCGCCGCCAGAGCACCCCGGAGAACTTGCTCACAGGCTACATCTGTATACATATATGCCATATTTTCATCAAGAGATCACATATATAAGGTTCAATTTTCTAAGCCTCCCAAAAACATACACACATTTTTTTCAGCGAACCAACTTTCCTTCATTTCAAATGCATACAGGCATGATTCCGAAAGGCCTTGGCGGAATTTGCACGTGAAAAATAAACATGTGGCTTGTTGTTGTTCGCCAAGCAACTTAATGAATAACTGGTAAGATGAAGTCTTTTTTAGTCAAACTTGCTGCTCGTGTTGGTCGTTGGAGTGTCCTGAGGTTAAGGCAGAGGGAAAAGACTCAGTGTGTTAATGTGTGGAAGCTTCGACTTCAGGGGGAGAATGTTTCAAGCGAGTTTCAGAAAGGTACGTGATGCGTCTTCACAATGTAGTAATCACAAATAACTTCAGTCGAGTCGCTTTTGACAAAAAATGACCTTAGAAATGCACGGTTCTTTACTATTTACATGGACAAACCAGTTGGTTCACGGTTTGGGCAAATGGTAAGCAAAGGGCGCTTTCCATTCAACCAAAACTTTCGAAAATGTAGGGTGGATTCATTGGCAACATAAGCGTATAGCGGTCGCATTTGCCTGCTGGAATTTTTTGTTTTGAGCTCAAAAACAATAAACAATTCCAGCAAGCAAACGCGACAGCTATACGTGTTTGTTACAAGTGAATCCACCCTTGGAAAAAGATACAGAAATTTCCCGGAAAAGTTTCCAGAAATTCCGGAAACTGTTGAATTTCAGAAAAGCGAACCACTCAACCGAAAATTCTGATATATAGATTTAGCCAGGGCTAAAAGCGAAGCTCTCGATAATATTTATAGTTTGTTCAAACAAAATACAAAATCATGTAATGCTAAGCGGCGAAGGCAACGCCGGAGAACGGTTAAAAACAACTTACAATAGGTCTAATTAGCAAAAAGCAACTTTGCACGCGCATCACACTTTTTTTGTACATTTCTTTGCCGTTTTTTTGCACGACTACAACGTGAAACTTCCAGAAACTTCTTAGTTACACGTTTTTTTCGTTCACTTTTTTTTCACTGCTTCTCATTAATTTTTTCACCTTGCATTCATTTGGTGGCCGCTAGCATTTCTCATTTTGTCACCGCCGTTACAAAATTTTCATGTTGTTCTTCCAACAAAAAAATGTCTCCTTTGTTTTTCATCTCTCGCTCTAAATCTCTGTCGCCCTTTTTCTCGTTGAGCTTTCTCTGTTTTTCTCTTGCTCTATATTCCAAATTTGTGGACATAACAATTAATCTAAGCTTAACACTTTAGAAAACACGGATACAGAGACAATTTCCAATTTCCATTTTACCTCTTCATTGACTCTTTAGTTGTTTCTGCTCTACAAGACGCGGGTGGCTATGCGATTTCCCGTCAAAATAACCTCGAGTTGCATTTGGGTTGCCATACCTGTTGATTGAGTTATTTTACATTGGTATGCCTGTGGTGCGGAAGGACGGTCGGGCGGTCGGTGTACGGTCACGTGGTTACCAAATTTTCTCGGATGGGTAGTTTACCACATTTTCTTACCCATGGTGCTCCGCTGCGCGCTTCGCGCGCGAGAGCTCCGCCAAAAATTCCAGGAGCGAGGTTTAATGGAAAGGTATACCTCGCCAAATTGTCCTCGTTTTTGGAGATTTTGGAAAATGTTGTTCCGTTCGCTACTGGAAGTTGCCCGAAAATTCAAACCGGACGTTTTGGTTGGATAGAAAGAGCCCAAAATTCAGGACTGGAAAATCTTTTTCCAGAATTGCGTTTACCATCTAAATTGCACAAGACAGTTCCATTTAACGAAAACGGCCGTGATAGCCCTGAAACTGTTATCAAAATTGGCTTTGAAGAAATAGAACACAAATATTTGTATCATTCCGTCAAAATGTTCCGTTGCCCCTTGAAATTTTCTACTAGAGCGACCAGAAAACTCGTCCCCTATGTAAGAACCTCTAAAACTCACGGGGTGACTTAAAACAAAGACAACAAAGACGTCAAGGAAACAGAACAACGACAACAACAAAAAACAAAAGGTGAAAAGAAAAAACAAATTCTCTGGTTTCTACACCGAGGTAAACTCATTTTCATATCTCCAGCATTTGTTTTCAAGCACTCACGACGACAACGCCGGTTAAAAAGTCTCTAAAGAGTGAATCCGTTCCAGTCTTTTTCTTTCAAAGTTATCATTCCAACTCGCTTAGTTTATTAAATTCGGTCGGTGAATTTTCCTGAGGTTATATCGTTAGGGGAGGTATCCCAAACGAAAACTCGCTGTTTGTGTTCGCGACTTCCACGTTAGATAAGTCGCAAGAACACAAAAATCGAGCTGGAAGAAACGTCAGCTATTTTTTTCATCCGGTGAAAATGGTGGAGCAATGATATGAATGAAAAACTTTCCTGTTCCCCTCAGTTTAAGAAGTTTAAATTCAAGTTTTTACCCATTTGTCGAGCCCATTCCATCGCTGTACCACACCCTGCAGCGTTTCCTTCTGCTAAATACACTGTTTCTCCTCCTATCTTCCATCCTACCAGCGGATATAGACCTGGGAAAAAGAAAAGGACCTGTTTTGATGCGATCAAAATTTTCATTTACAAACTTTTTACGGAACCCTCTCGAACCAGCTTGCGAAACAAACGTTCCCGCACGGTTTCGGAACAAGGAACAAAAAACGAGAGTCAAAGACCACGCGAAAAATGGCGCGAATAAAAGAACGTCGCTCTCGTTCCATTTTTCGCGCGGCCAAAACCGAAAATCCCGTCTTTGCTCCGACACCAAACGGAAACGTTTGCTACGCAGGCTATGATTTCTACCCAGATCTGGGTAGTGACAAGTCATCAGAACGGAATTTCTGCAGTCGTTTCTCAGAATTCATTTCGCGGGAAAACCAGTGGTGACGTCACGAAAAGTTGACGTTTACTCAGACTAACGAAAAACGGCTTTTAAGTTTTCGTGAAACTCATACAACCGAAGATTAATGATGATACGGTAGCCTTTTTATACTTTGATTTTAAAATTGTCACTCAATATCTACATGTAGGTTTGAAAGATCTTGTATAGCTGGAGGTTCTGAGTTAAATCACGCATAACGTTAATCAAAAAAGCCATGTGGCGGTCATCGAAGTAATTGCAGTCCCGTGAAAAGTAGGTTGCGGAGTTTGGAATTACCTGCCACAGAAGCGTGTGGATAGGAACCAGTATTTATATCTATAAACGATCCAGTCCCCATGGTACAATTCACGTCTCCAACGTCGAAACAACACTGGCCAAACACAGCGGCCTGTTGGTCAGCGACCTTAAATGGAAAGGTAAGCCAGTTATAGCTGAGTATCAAAAAATAAATAAATAAACAAACAGACAAAAACTTAACTTCCATAAAATCGTTGAAACGAAGTTAAGGGATCGTAGCGATCCTGCATACCTTGGACACATCGTTGGGGGATCAGGCTAACACCCAAAAATATTGGATAATTTGCCACTTTAGAAATGAGATGTAAACTGGGCCAAGTTGACTTTCGGGATTGTTACTTGGGACAGGGAAAAAAATTGGCCAATAGCAGACTGGCGTCTTACCAGTAACGATCCCAGGCACAATTGCGGGACACATTTCGGCTCCAGTTCCTTTCTCATTTCTAAAGTGGCGAATACTGGGCAATGTCGACTCTGATACGGTCACACGAATCTAACAATTAACCCCGACTGCGTCCTGAACAAGGATTTATGCTATGCCATAGAAAATATAGCCAGCGCCGTTCTGACTCCATCGTGAGCTGCACGTCTGTCTGGCGCACTAATTGTTTTCTATGGCATGGTACAAAAAACGATAAAAAAAGTTGTATACTGAGAAAATTTTTAAGTGCTGGTGGCATATTCCATTGCACACAATTTCAGACCGTTGGGTAACAAGCACAGACCATTAACATGATGCAAACAGAAATGTCTTTAACATTCACAATACGACGTACTTCGTCCATCCAGACCTTTTTAAAGACTCGGGGTTTGTGTCTAAAACAATCTTGACCATTGACAAAAAAAATGAGCGCTGCTTACCAAAGACCTCACAGGAATTGGTGCACCAAAAATATCTTTATGGCTTTCACAGATTCTTCCGCTAAGAGAAGAAAAATGAAAAGAAGAGAGTTAAACAGCACAACTACATTAGAAATTTCAATAAATTACTCTGACTCCTTTGCTCGTTCTCGCCGTTCATTGCATATAAAAGCCTCCGCTGGTTTTTCATGACTCCCTTGGTAACAAATATCGAATGAATTAAAACGAAATTTTGAGGAATTTGTTTGCAACTTACAAGCATTGTCAGTCGTAAATTTGACTATCATTTGAGGTTTCTGGGTAACTGACCACCTACCCCTCCCCTGAGTCACAATTTTGCCTTAAGTGAGAAGCAAGTGCTGATGTCGACTTAGGGGAGGGGTAGGTGGTCAGTTACCCAGAAACCACAAATGATCCCGTAATTTGAGGGTAGTAGGGGACGCGCGGGTATAAGAAGAGCCCTTCCCCCATCCCAGTCACCACCAGCTATGAGGCCCAGGTTCAAATTCCAGAGGAGACGCCACATGTGTGTAAGGTTTGTTCAGAAAGTAGACAAAGAACCTTTTTGTAGATGATCTACCGGAGAGATGATACTTTTACAGCATATAGAATTAGGATTGAGCGGTTACAGTCTTTCCTATAACAATATATTTTATAAGAATATCGAGGCTGAAATTTGCGAAATTTTAAGAATATTTTAAGAATAAACCTGAGGCTGTGAGTTCCGTAAATATAGAACAATTTATGTTTTTAACTTAACCGTAAAAGAATTATTCCTTTCACCAACAAGAACACTGGTAATTGAAACCTCAATACAGTCTAAAGCGGAAATGCCATGAGCTAGAATTTATAATTAAGAATAAGAATAAGAATAAGAATCTAAGAATAAGAATTTTCAGCCTGGGTCGGAAAAACAACATTCTTATGTGAAAAAAGAGTGTGAACCGCTGGACTTGCAATCCGGCGGGCCTGAATTAAAATCACTCAAAAGCCACCCCCCCCCCCCACCCCCCCCCCCCCCCCCCCCCCCCCCCCCCCCCCCCCCCCCCCCGCCCATGTTACATCGCCAGCGCCCTCTCTCTCTCCACCCCTTCATCTCCTTGCACTGTTTTCTTCTTTTTGTTCTTCTTATTTCTTTTTTTTCAAAAGCCACCCACCCACCTCCCGCCCAAACGGCTAGCTGGATTTGTTCAAGGTAGTCTCTAGTTCTACTTCTTGGTCACAAAACGTTTATGTTTATTTCAATATTCTTTGTTTCTGTCCTTCAGTATTTGTGGGCCACAATGTAAACTCACTGGATTACCAGTAATAGCGTTACCCTTACAAAGTCATTTTTTTTAAAAATTAAAACTACTTTCACAATCTTAACAGTAACTCCAGATACACCTCAATCCTTAGGGTGTCCTCCTCATTAAAAACGGACATGAGAGGGCGAAGGCAGTGGGGTCTAAACTAGCACTTCCAGATATGCGACATGCGGCGGAGTCAAACGCTGAAACCCATGATTTTTTTTTTTTTCATTTTAATAATCGGGTTTTTCCATGGTAAAGCGTCTTGTCCGAGTCCAATGAAATACTGGGGACAGCAGTTCCAGTTTTCAAACACTTTAAAAGTTTCACTGTATCATCTACCTTGTATCAACTATTCGTGGTAAGATTGATAAAGGTACTCCGAGTAGGCTGGTCATTATTGAACTCCACTCCATCTGCCAAAAAAAATATATTAACGAGAACGTCATCAACTCACTTCTTTATGCAGTTCTCTTGTGAAGTTAGGTCTGTTCCAAAAAGCCAAACGCCTTGCTATTACCATTCAAAAATTAACTTAACCATCACTCTCAAAAAAAGAACAAATCGTTACCAGTTTTTGTCGTAAAAAAAAAAGAATATCTTTGTTTTCAAAAGACTGAAAATAGTCGATAGTCAAAACTCTATGTCTTGCTCATATTCGGCAAATGATATTTGACCTTATTTGGTTCCTGGCGCAGTGTAACCGACTTCTCAGGAAATTATTCCTTAGTGAATAAAGCACTTCAAATTGACGAGCTCCCTCAGTGTAAGAAACGAGACCGAAGTTAGGGAGCTTTTGCATCGACGCCTGTCCTGTAGGGTTAGATTAGCAAATGAACAACTCCGCACGTGCATCACACTTTTTTGCACGACTAGGACTTGAAACTGCGAAATTTTATGTTTTATGATATGATGAACGTGAAGACCAGACACAATTTTCTTTTTCTGAACTAAGATACAGGCCTTTAGAATTCAACCCCAGAAAAAATTCATCAACATTTGACAGCTGAACGATGTGGAACAATAGCGAAGAAAAATGACAGGTGAATCAGCTCGCTAATTTACTTTGCGATACCCTGCAAGCAGAGGTTACATTTTCGCGGTATGAGCTGGCGGGCGAAAATGTAGCCTCTGCTCGCAGGGTAACTTTGTAAGTGACATTTTAGCCAACGGTTCTTTAAGTCATACAGTGAAACCTGTTTTAGGCGGGCACCCACGGCACCTTTTCTGCTGTCCGCTTAATAGAGGTGTCCGTTTACTGAAAACTATGGGAAGAAACGTTTGACACATTCTGAGCTATTCATCCGCTTAAAAAAAGATGTCCACTTAATATGGGGTCCGCTAAATTAATAAGCTGTGAATACAGGTTTCACTGTTTTTACCGTGTCTAATGTCCAAAAACTATAAAATTATCACTCACAACGAAAGGATCAAACATTCCTGTGCTGCTTGCATTGGAGTAATCTGTGACGTGAAGCTGTCCTTTGGAAAAACAATCATCACACAAGATGTCAGTCACAACGGAAGATGAATAATTTATCTAGTTTCTACGCATATTTGTACCTGTTGTGCATCCCATTCGATATGCAAAAGTAAAGGCGTAGTGACTGATAACGGGGTAATACCTCAAACATCACATTTAAAGGTCCGTATTCAAGCCTTGGCGTTAAGTTGTTACCCTTCACAGGAGACTTTGCTTTACTACATCTCTCCTTACCCGGGGCCCAGTTGTTTGAAAGGTGGGTAACGCTATTCACGAAACCTCTATTAAGTGGATGACGTAATTGGTTTCCATAGTACTAATCCACTGGGTAGAGATTTGTCCGGTGGATAGTGCTATCCAACGCATGAACTGCCCGGATATCAGTCTGCGTGGCAGGCTTCGAGGGAAAAAGGGAGAGGGGATCGGGGAGGGAAGGAAAGGGATTCCTCCTCCTTTTCCTCTCCTCCTCCCCCGCCCCCCCTCCCACTCCCTTTCTTGTGCCTGGCACGCTTTACTGCAAGGTAGGGTACATAAATGGGTACTAGCGACATACCGCTGGGGTAAACCCGGATAGACTAGTATCCCATCCAGGGGTTTGGTGGGGGGGATGCGATAATACTACTAAGTTCGTCAAGCTACAAAATTCAAGTTAAAGTCTCTCCATAAGGCCTCCTTGGTTTCTGCACACCTTTACCCAGACCTTTTTATCAGTGTGCAAGAAAGTTTTTCTCCTAACGCGCCTTCGCTCTTCTCCTTCCCTCTTCCCTATAAAATGCCTGCCACGCAAGCTGGAAATTTAATTTTCTTAGCACCCCGTTACACATGAACAGTGGAATTATCTTTCCCTTCTTTACATTACAATGAGAGATATACAAACAGGCATATGAATTTCAAATTAATGTACATGTATCTACCATTCTTGTTTCCTTTTGGGTTGGCGTCACTTGTCAACCTACATTTACACTTGTAAAGAATTTAATTACTTACCTCTTGTAAGTTTCCAGACTAACCAGGAGTCAATAGTACCAAATGCGAGCACACCAACATCTGCCTTTTTAGCCAACTGAAAGGAAGAAGGTGTTGATTAATAAATTGACCCTTCAACAGTTTTTTTTCCTCTTTTAACTAGTTGAGTGATAGGCAGAAAACTAATGAAGATATTGCTACACAGGGCAGCAATCGTTTATTTAGATGTTTGCAGATCTTTATGAAGTGAGGAGCAAGTTTGGCTTCCTTGTTATGCGTTGTCGGATAAGAAGGGGTATGAGGGAGGAGTGTGGCAGGCAAGTGAGGTAATAATCATTTTGCTGTGGGTTTGGATTTGCATTTTCAATGCAGGGCAACAGGGCACCCAATCCCACAAGCTTATATGTAGGGGTTAAAAATAAAACAACATGTTTTTTTTTAACTTTAAATGTTGCATAAGACATAATTGAATACACAAGAAGATAAGACGAAATATGAACCCTAGCCTGAGGTCATGCCCTGTCCCTAATCCCCTGAAAAAAAGAAAAAAACCCATCATATGAACCCAGCTAATGCTGTACGATAATATATAATACTGCATGCAAACACTTACTTCAGGATGACTTTTTAGTAACCAATGGAGTCTTATTGATGTCTAAAAATGCAACAAAAAGAAGTTAAATTAATAACATTCAATTATTTTGACCTCTGTCAACCAAAAATCTTAAAAACTAAGCCATGACTAAGACCTCTTTTTAATTTAATGAAAGAAAGCTTCACATGTGACAGCCTGTTCAAAGAATACATATAACACAGATGAAACAACATTCAATTAGGATCCACTTTTATAGACTGGAAGTCACTTACATGCTGTGTTGAAAAACTAATTACACTTCCAGCAAGGTATTTCTTTTGTCTTGAAATCATGTGAAGAAATTTAGAACCAACATTCAGACTCTGAAACAAACAGAGAGGCAAGTGAGTTCATATCTTCACACAATAGCAAATTTTCTGTAAGCAATAATTTGCAGAGGGTTAATATTTTTAACCCATTTGCCCCTGAGTTGCCCATAACCACCCGTGCAAATCCACATCCCTTCTACTGCTTGTGATGTCATCAGTTTTAATGGTCAAGGACAACTTTGTCTGCTAACTTGTGCAGAGTGAAGAGATCTTTCAAACCATACCAGAATGAGCACAATTCAATCAAGGACACCATAGCTCTTTATAGCACGACAGTGAGCAGAAAACTGCTGGACTAGCTTTAAACATGTTTTTCGGCAAAATTTCCAGGGGCAAATGGGTTAATGAACCTTTTTAAACTAACTATAACTACAATTTTTATGATATTGCTGGGTGGAAAAAGGGCTTATGACATTTAACATTTTTTACCTGGAACAGCAATAACCTGAGATCAGGCTCTATTTTCGTTTCGCTTTGTAAATAACATTCCGGCATTCAAGCTTTGTTTTTGCACAGCAACCAGTTATCATTCATATATCAAAAGGGAAGTTCTGTATTTGTTTCTTTAAACATTAAAGCCATATATTTACCTAGTCAATTTACCCAAGGCTAGAAAAATTTGCTGAAAACATTTTTTTAGGAGCATTAGACATGCCTGACCTTGAGTATGCAGGTATTATTAAATTGTCAGCCTTGGATAATGCATTTCTAGTATTCTGATTGGTTCATTCAATCTCAGTTATTATCATCTCTTATACCTTAGTTTGTCCTTATATGGGAAAAAATTATGCTAAGTGTTGCCAAGCGAAAATTTCCTGCAGGAGGCAAATCATTTACTTTCTCTAGGACAAAGTGATGGAAAAAATAGATTTTGTGAGCTTTCTAACGATGCAGTATAAGAAATACTGGAAAATGCCATAACGGCAATGACAAATGAAGTCACGATATCAGATGGTAAAAAGCCAACTCAGCGCTACATGCCTCGTTGGCTATTTACCATCTCATATCCAACATGCGCTCATGTTGTTAAATAAAAGTGATTTATTCCATTTCTCAACATAATTAAATTACATTAACTGTCAATAATAAGTTAAGATCCTTTCTCTGACCTTAAGGGTAAGTGATTTATTCCAGCTCTCAACATAATTATGTGACCTTAAGTCTTGCCAGGTGATGAAGTTGTGATATGGCCGGCCAGTTTGCCTAAAAAAGGAACAATTATAAAAAAAGGCATGACTATCACTATACATAATAATAGACTTTCCACATTTTTTTCAACTTTTGGCATGGACAAATTAGAGAAAATCCATCAACTCTGCTGGAAAAGTTAAGTGTTGAAAACTAACAAAGATATAAGCTCCTCAAAGTTGCACAATTTTACAGATGTTTGTATATGGTGGGGGCATCTAAACTTGTGCTCCACCATACAAACATCTGTAAATTTTCGCAACTTTGTGGACCTACATCTTCGCTCACCTTAGACATATCACTTTCAAACTTGGCAATTGTAACTCATTTTAAGGCGTTTTTTCCAGAGGTGTGTCTGTCGACGGATTTTCCCTAACTGGTCCATGTCAAAAGTTGAAAAAACCATGGAGGGGGCCAACTGTTCATGTATGTGAAATATAGACGATAAAATATCTAAACTTTCAAATACGTTTGATGGTAAACAAGAATGCTCTTAATATTGGCATTTAGTCTTGCTTGTGTGCTTGAAGATTACATAAGAAATGTGGAGGCGATTAATTTCAGACGAAACAGGATATACCCACTAAAGGTTTTTCACATCCTACTTTATCAATGGTCAAGTATTCTTATATTTACTTTTTATATCGCATTTGAAGATTTGTTTCCGAATTGATTTAGTATGCGTGTCAGCAATGATCAGAGATACGTCCGCGGTCACAGGTTTGATACACGTGTATAATTATTACACGAAAATTCAAGGGCCTCTATTTGAGAGAAATTACACCATGATGAGAACATGGCACATCATTTCAATCATCGCCAAAAATAAACTGCATGCTCATCACAAGGCTCATTTGCATACAATACTATTTACACCAGTTATTGCCTTTGCTTATTAAGATTAATAAAAAAAGAATTCTTCTTGTTCTTTTTTTTTTTCAACCAGTGAACGGTTCACTTGTTCCAAAGTTATTAAAAAACCCTTTCAAGTGATAGAATTCGTGGACCGACCGCAGTTCAGGAAAAGCTCTAAAATCACATTTAATATTCTTTCCTAAGCTTTCTTTGCAAAACATGTGTGGCTTCGGTCACGCAACGATTCTTATTCCCAGTTTCCACGGTCTCCACAAGGAATACCTGGGACCCCAACCGCCCTTTTGTGTCCTTAATATGAAGAAGAAAAAGGGCAGCTTGCAGATTATGAGTCTCACTGCTTACGCAAGAGAGACTAATAAAGTTAAAAAGAATACTAGTATTAATGTTACCTGTCCCATGTTATAAAAGTGCCTCTCATGGTGGAAATACCCAGGGCTGTGACATCCTCTGCATGAAGATTTGATGCTTTAACCGCAAAAAATGAGTCAGTTACATGTATCTCCACATTGAAAATCATTAATATTGTGAATCATCCAGTAAAATGTCTGAGGAAATGCACACCTACATACCCACATACCCACTAAACCAATGTTTACACTAAATTCTAACTTAAATGGGGGGAGGGCCAGGCAAAGATTGGGTTAAGGGAGAGGTAGGTGAGCAGTTTCCCAGAATCTAAAAAATACTGCTCTCTCACTAAGGGTAAAATGTTGGGTTAGGGGAGGGGTAGGTGGGCAGTTTCCAAGAATCTTACATGTATACTGATCCCAAACATTTTATCAAGAAAGATAATTAGCAATATAAAAAGCCCAAGTTTTTAAAAACCACTGGCAATAATTTACAATTTTACCCTGCCTGCAATACCTTCCAAGACTTCTGTTATAACATCAACAAACTGTTCCCATAACACTTGAGGGTCAATCTCAACCCATCCAGGCTGGGGATGGAGGAGTTTAACCTGTTAGCAATATTTAAATAACTTAGTAACAACATATTATCATAAGAAAGGGAGTAATATTTAATAGTAAAAGAGACTGAAGTCGACTAGGATAGGTCATGCAAAGACATGGATGGTATACATAAGCACATTTAGGACACTGGATAAATAGTGACTGAAAGTGTTATTTTCATTTTCTTTGCATTTTTCCTAGGATTCGCACTTTCCAATATTATTTGGTGACAGAAGGTTAACAAGCCACAGAAAGCCTAGGTGTTTTCAAACAGAGATGCCACTAGCAATTTTGTCAATATTCTAGTCAATGTGAATGTTCATGAGAGCAAGGGAAGATTTTCATCCCCAGTCATAACTCTGTGATAACTCTTATACAAATAGTAAAATGGTGGAGAGGAAGCCCGGGAACCCCTTAAACACTGCTTGAACCCTACACGCCTCATAGGCATGACATTAAATTTTATTTAATACACCAATAAAATGGTGGGCCCTTTTTTCCATATCTCAGATCCTCACCCCTTCCGTCACTTGTATACTTAGTGTAGGCATCTCTAGTCCACCACCTATAGGCGAATCCTTGTTTACAAAACTGTACATTTTCTGCCTCATTAGCATATCCTTATCATTTTCTGATGAAGCTAATAAAATAAACCTCTGAATATTGAAAAAAACTCTCTTTGAAAGAATGAGTATGAGCTCAATTATAAGACAACTTGAATTAGCAAAAAGCATCTTCAAACGGTCAAGACATCAGTCCCATTTATAGAAACACATCGTAGTTTATAAAATATTAATGGCATATATTTAGGACACATCTTGTTTCTTCCTTTTTTGAATTTGCATAAAATAACCGCTACATAGATCTACTTAATGACCAATATCAAGAAAGTCGACTGCGATATGCCCCACTGCGAACAGAAGATGTCGGTCACTAAGCTACTAAATTTCTTATTAAACTTCCTTCAGTTGTCACCGTTCATTTGAACTCTTTCTTTGAAGAATCAGTCTGACTGAATTCTGAGAAATTAATGAGCAAACTACTAGAAAGAGAAACAAGCTTTCTGTATAAGCTTACATGTACTTCAATGTCATTTTAGCTTTAATAGCACAAAATTTTAACCGATCAAACATCGTAACTGTACGGTTTAAATTGTGCCTATTTCTTCACTGATTTCTTCGACCCGATCAGCTGGGTAATCAAAAAAGTCAGGCCTTGGTAGTTTGGGCATGAATTTGGATCGGAAAAGCAAGAATCTTTCAGAGACTGAAAATTTTTCATCTGCGCTTTCTTAAAAGAGAGAAACGTTGACAAACACAAATCATGCTTACGCCGACTTTGTAAAGTGAAATCTAACTTTGAATGAGCTATTATTTTGCTGACCTCTCTCGATGTTTGGTAAACAGAGATCCCAGACTGGTCGAAATGATGACACGAAATCGTTGTGGTGCCAATGTCCACTGAAATAATATTCACCGGCGAACGATGTTTTTTTGTCTCGCCACTACTCGCCATCTTACGACCCTGTTTGCAGAGGCCAATGCAACGAATCGGAAGCTTAAACAAGCTTAAAATTCCTCGTTCGATAAGGAATATACCTGCTGGGTACCACCATCATCGATCGGATGCCTCAGATCGTGCCTTTTGCGCGATTTACCAAAACATCAGGGGAGACCCATGGGATGGAGATCGCAACTCTGACAGAAGAGATTATACATTCTGTACCTCTAGTTTACCTGTAAAAGAGGATTATGGCAAATATTTCAATTTACTTTTTTCTTTGATAAAAAAGTAGCTAGAGATATTTGCAATTATATTTTAGAGCTTACTTTTAACGTTGGATCGTTTGCAACCCCAGGGTCCCCTACTTAAGTCAAGCGGTATGATGAAAGCGAGGCTTCCTTTGGCGCGCCATTTGGAATAGTAGTTTTGTTCGGTTTTGTTCCATGATGTTGCAAGCGTCTTCTTCTGCATTTCGTATTCTTTTCCGACTTCTTTATGCTTAAATTAATGTCGAGTCGAGCAGAAGGTTGCGGGCTATGGCTTTCTACGAAAGAAAAAAGATCAACTCAGCTTCCTCTGCAAAAGAGTGGAAAAGCAAAGAAATCAAAACAGAAGTTTTTGTTACGTGCGTCTGCTAAGCGAAGCAACGGGCTCGACATTCGAGTTTCGAGCTCTCCGCTTTCCCCAAGATCAAGAAAGAAGTTACAAAGTGCTAAGCAGACTAAAATTAATAAATACTTTAGGTCAGAAACTTATTCAAAAGATTCCAGGCGTGGTAAAATTCTGGAAGGTGTTTCAGAACGAGCTGGCTGCTTTAAGGGAAAACTGCCGGCGAAAATTTCAGTCAAGAGAAAACAAAAGGAAAATACCTCTGATACCGGTAAGTTAATAAGATGCAAGAATAATGGAATAATATTTATAAATTGCAATCGTTTGCATCCAGTTACTGTCTCCCCTCACTGCTTCTCCGCGATACCAGCACGCCAGGGGTCGCGGCGGGGGGGGGGGGGGGGGGGGGGGGGGGGGGGGGGAAGGGGGTGGCGGTACTTGGGTCAATTTTTGCTGGGTTTATTGAAGCCGCTGGCCTCTCAGAAACCTTACCCCCTACCCCATTATAGTCTAATCTGTGGCCAATTATAGACCCTGTCTCTGTCACTTTTGGGCAAATGGAATTTACTTTGCCACTTTTGGTTTACATAGCCTAGTAGGTCAGTCATCCTAAAATGAATTCACACATTTTTTAAAATTCCTAGAAACAAAATTTTTCTTAATCTCAAAATGCGGAAAATGTGCGACCCAATTCTAGTAACTCTTTCAGGGGCATAGGATGAGGTTTTGAAGGTTTATGCACTGAAAGAAACATTGGTACATGTACTGCAAACTAGGGGGATCCAGGGGCAAATTTAGGGGCCCAGAAATGTCATTTCCCACATTTTCCCCGGGACATTTTCAGTTAAAAAAATATGAAGGAAAATGCAATAATTTGTTGTTTGATTTACATCTCTATTGTTGTGGGGTAAGGTGCAATGTTTACGAAAAAAGGTAAAACAGTGACGCCATCAAGAAGGTTATAATCAAAGGGTGAGATGTCTACCCTTTAGATGGGTAAAGACAACATAATGTGAAACATTTATCAATCAAAATGCTTTCGGGGAATAAAAAATATATATTTTCCAGATTTCAGCTGTGCGCAGAGATGTATGTGTGTGTATATATGGATGCTACACCCATCTTTCGGAAGTGTAACCAAATAAAAGTCAACCTAGTCGTGAAAATAGGACCCCATTCAGTGGCACATCCTTATTAGCCTATTACTAGGAGGGTATAAAATCAAACTCACCTTTGGCCCTGGGGGATGGGAGCGGAATTAAAGTAACAGGGATACCCTTCATACTTTAAAGGAGATCGGAGTTGTGTATTTGTACTGGTTTAAACAGGGCTGCCTGAACTTCTGAACTACATGTAGTCAATCTTGTCTTCTCTCATCAAACTAGTTTTTGAAGAGCAGGCATCCAGTTATTGATAAACCTATGGTAGTGACAAAGGCTGCCGTACCAAGTGCATTGCCACTAGGCCTGGGTTTGAAACTGTTTCCTGTCAACATGGAGTGCATGCTTAACAAAGATCTAACTCAATTTATACAGTTTCTTTCTCAAGTATGCCAAATTCAAGGAAACAAAAGAAAAGTTTTGAAAGTTGAAAGTTCCTCAATTAAAAGAGAAACTGAAAAAATTCAGGCTTGACCGGGAACCTGACCTTTGCAACAATGGTCATTGCAAAGGTCGGTTGGATTTTTTGAAGCCCATTGCCAAAACCTTAAATGACCATTTTTACATGTACCCTCACTTGGTAGGTTGTACCTTTTAGTTAAAGGCATTTTTAGCACCCTAAGCCAATGAAAATGATGCAAAGACTTCTGTTACTGAGTGACTAAATCAGTGGCAGCACCACGCATTTGTTAAAATAAATTTGAGCCTTGCCCACAAGATGAAACAAGATCCATTTATCTGCTAAAGGTGCACTTTCAAACTTGCCCTACTATATGTACCACTGCCATTATTTTTATCGGTAAGTTACCTCCTTCCGCCTCCCGCCATCTCTCCCAATACTA